CGCAGGCAAAGCGGGGGTCTGCCCGGCACCACGACGAGAGCCGGTCCTCCGGCTATACGCAGCTGGTGGGGCAGGTCTTCCAACCCTATCCCTGGCTTGAGCCGGATAACAGCGGTGCGTGTCATCAACCCGCAGCCCATGACTCCTTCAACCCGCCACTTCTCAGTTCCAACGTCAAACACCTGGCCATACGGTGCAAGTGCCACCCTCACCTCGTCGTCGGGAACGTAATGAAGCAGCCAATGCATCTTGACTCGGACGTCCCTATTCGCCGGGTCCACGACGACGCATCGCCGTCCCTTGACAACAAGGTCGCCCGCAGCGATGATTTTCCGTTTACCCTCGGGTGACCTGAAGAGCCCAGACGTGGTTCATCTGGTATGCCCCTAAGGTAAGAACCTCGGGGAGCAGTGCCAGACGATTCAGGGTGTCGCGGAAGTCCTCCACACGGTACGGGCGTCCCCGGACATCGGCGTGAAGAAACACGGTGTTGAGCACCGTAGGTCCAGTTGGCAGAGGCGGCAAAATTATCTGATACTCCGAAGACGCAGAGTCATTCCTGTCACCGCGGCCCGACTGGGCCGCTATCGCTACTCCGGCGGAGCCTGCCATCCCACGTCCGCACTCGGTGAAAGCCAGAAGTGGAATGCGTTAGGCTACGGCTGCGCTGCCTACTAGGCGCGCCAATACTGATTTTATTGTTCATAGGTAGTGCTGATGGTGCTGATTTGTTTTTATTGGTCATAGGTAGTGCCGAGTTCCGGGTTTCGTTTCGACTTCATTATTACTGCTTTATGTTCGGTGAAATGCAGAGCCAGTGGTTCTTCTAGCGGATCAGCTTGGATCCGCTAGAAGCCGTGGAAACGCATCTCCACCGCTTAAGTCAACGGTCCATGTCAGAAAGAGAATGTGTGGTATGGATCGTGGTTAAATACGCAGTGGAGCATTTGACCACAGCGCCCTCTCGTCTTTAAACGTTGAGCCAATGCATGCAAAGTTTAACGCGATTATATACGCATTTGACCGCAGCGCCCTCTCCTGTATAGACGTTGAGCGGCTACATGCAACGTTTCATCCATGACAGCCCCAGCTCTTGAGTTACTACCGCATCCCAGAGCCCCATACTCGTCCCGCAGTCGTGGCCGAGTGGTTAAGGCGATGGACTAGAAATCCATCGGGGTCTCCCCGCACAGGTTCGAATCTTATCGACTGCGCAAACCTTTTTTCTTTTTTTACGAAGACAGATGGGATGACAATCGATGTGAGCACGGATGCCGGACGAACAAGGCTAGACCATAAGGAGCTTCGCCCCTAAAAAAAGAATTCCGATGAAGCGAGCGATGCCGGAAAGTCCAGCGGATCGAAACGTGGTTGGGAAGCAAGGAGGCTAAATGCCGAAGCAGCTCAAGCGCTAAAAAACCGTGTCCGCAAAAAGACGAAAGAAAATAAAGGAAAGGTTGGTGTGTCGCTTTCATGAGCACTGGGATATGCGCAAAGAAACTGTGTGGACTACGCCACCAACATTTCACATGTGGCGATATCATGAATGGGTGGTTGCGTGGGTCCCGCAATTGATATATTCATGTTGCTAACGCGTCGTTTACAAAACAGTTATAGCAAATATGGACTTCAATTTACTGCTATAGCTGTTATGGGATCTTTTTAACACTACAAGTGACGTCCGTTGTTGATGTTGTAGTTATTGTCGTGGTTGATGTTGTGGTTGGCGTACAAGAGCGTGGGATGTCTGTCGTCGATGTCGCTTCACCCTCGAGAAAGATCTCTCGCCGCCCGCGGGAGTCGAATCTGGGCCCGCTGCGTGCGAAGCGGAGATGTTACCACTGAGCTACCCCACAGCATTACAAAAGCCCGCGTTATATACTCTGGGGGTTCTTAGTACACGATGCCCACTGCACGTGTTCTCTGGAAAATTAAAACAAGCAAACAAAAATAAACAGCCTTTCAACATTGGTGAAGATGGCAGACCAGCGAAGCTGTACTATTGTGGGTATGAAGTAATGGCCGGCCGCAAGTCGGCAAGCCAGAGGGGAAAGGAACTAGAGTCTCCCTATGAAAAGGCTGGAAAGAGTGCGGCATCTATGAGCGACGGCGACAACCAGACAACCGGCGAGCCGATTGTCTGGTTGCTGCCGTCGCTCATAGATGGCGGCAGCTGTCCACAGTTTCGTGCCATCATTTGTTTGCTCACGGGCACGATACTGGGGAAGATAGCCCTTAACAGCTCCGCTGTAAAATAGCTGATAAGAAAATATTTGCGTAGCACTGCCAAGGTCAAAAGCTCGTGCCGTGAGAACGCGCTATCACTCGCTCCGGAACAAAAAAAGAAACAAAAAAGGTTGAAACAAAATGGTCAGATGGCTATTTTCTTCCGAACGCTTTTGTTCACGCGTACGTGAACGCGTCGCCGATGCACAGCAGTCGATCTGACTTTGCTGTGGATTAACACAGCAATGCTCAATTTTTTCCGTGTGCCGTCCTCTTGTAGGATGTGTAAAATATTTAGGGTGCTTCGTTAGGAAAAAGTCGCGTCTGCAAAGAGGCAAGATAGTCTAAGAGTTTAAGGTGGAAGTAATTGGGAGGAAGGCATATTTGGATAATTTTTCTTTGAGCAAGCATCTTTTTTTTATTATTGTCCTAGCATTTATGGTATTTCTCCCGTATTTCGACTCCAGATCTACTGGAAGTTGCACTGAAGACGATGTTTTCCTTGCCTGGAATCCCATCACCCACGCTTCGGGCTTGGCATATGACATGAATTGTATGCTGATGGGCGCGAAGGCCGTCATCGCAGAACCCTGGATTTCATATGAAGAGTTTAAGGACATCCTCGAAACATTTCAGGTGATACATTTGGGGCGATATTATAACATATATTCAAAATCGCTCGACATACTGAACTGCCTAATGCCATGCAAATTTACTGCACAGGTGGACGCAGTGACAAACTACCATGGAACATTTTTAAGCAAACTGTTTTTTTTTATCGGACACATCTTCAATTGAGTTATATTCTTTCCTTAAGCCGCTGGGATTTCTGTTGCTGAGGCGTTTTCTTCTTTTCTTTTTTTGCAATCTAGAAAAACGAGGCCCAACTAAGAAATTCCTTTAAACAAAAAAAAAAAAAAAAAGAAAAGGTTCCAGTGAAACCTTGGCGGAACTCTCGTGTCCTTACTTCCGGCAAACGGTGAAGCAACACTGATGTGCAATCCTATACCCTGTCCTCGGTTAGGTTACCTAAACAAAATTCAACGCTATATCGGCATTTAACACATCACCATCATTACCGTATAGCTATTTTTCCTCGCTTGCTCTCTAAATTTTAGTCGAGTAGATTTGAGTTCAACCCGATAGTCAAATTACATCTTAAAGCATAGCGGAGGTCAGCGAAAGGCATAGATTAGTAACCAATCTGACGTCAGTCGTTGGGCTGAGATACGATCAACGAGAACACGCGTTCCAGCGGAACGCTGACACAGCACTCGTGTGACGGTCTTCCGGCAGGGGAGTGCGAAAGCGGAAACAGTTAGGTGCTAGGCATTTTGCCAAACGGTTAGCTGCCAGGCAATACTTTAACACGTTATGTGTTGAAGTTTTAAGGAACGAGCCACTTCGATGAGCCAGTACAATTCAGTGAAGACAAGTGACTAAACCTTTAAGAGGACAGCTTGTTTCTAGGGTTGACGCCTTATTTGCCTCACGCTGATTAGGGCAATCTGGAAAGGCGCTGCCGGCAAACAATTGCTTACGAACTTACGAGTTTCTCATTTTTGCGACGGGATATAATTGTAATAATCAAATTACGGAGGCTAACTTAACTAATCCAACCACCAATGGAACAACTCCCCCCCCCTCCCCCCCATCCCCCTTCCTTCTCAGACTCAACCCCTGTTTGATCACTGCTCATTTCTGTTGTGCTAGTTCAGCTGTTTTGTGTTTTTTATTGTAAAAATGCACTTCGATATTTTAGACACATGTTCCAGGGGATAAACACCGGCTGCCGGGTGGACAAATAAACACGAGTTTTGAGTCATAATCGTATTAGGTGCTGGAGAAAATCATACATATCTGTAAAGTCCTTATATCAAAGAGTGTTTTCTTAAAAACAAACAGCCGATACGAGCAACTAATCTCACCACACCGCCGTCTCTTTCTGTCCACACGATTAAGTCAGTCTGCCATGCTCGTCAGCGAAAAAAAAAAACACAAAAAACAGAGCGTCTGCTGACTAGGAAGGAGCACACGAGGAAGACAGCAGCTAGTGCCATTTTCAGAATACCGTCTGCTAATCCACATCAAAGCGACAACGCTAGCTTGGGGCTCCAAACTAGGCCTCCAAAATAGTTCGCGCAATGCCTCGCTCCATTTAGTTAGGTGAAAAAAACATTATTATCCAAGGCTCGAGCTTTCGCAAAATCTCGTTGGAGCCGTTGAGGGTTCGGCAGGCGACCGCTTTCAGCTCTCAGCGTCGACCCCCGCACCGGCACGTTCGGCTCTGGGTAGCGTCGCCCCAGTGACTTCGCAGATGGCATTAGGAAAGCGACATCGGTAGTTGCTTGCCTCATGCGCATCGTTCGCGTATGCGTTCATTTAGCAGACGATTTGTTGCCATAGTGACGGTGACTATTGGAAACGAATTTTATCTCGCGGAAGGACACGAATATGTTGCGAGGCGATGGGGTTCCTTGGGCTTCTGCCCGCGCTTTTCGATGGGTTGAAAGTGAACGCGAGTTAAAAAGAATAACCTAATTCACATGGCCTCTTTTTTTCAGCACCCATTATTCTGACGAGCCTTATTTAAGAAGCACCTTTTTAACTCGGAGTTTGAAATAAGCTTTTTTTTTCGGCAACACAGGACTAAAATAAACTACCGATGTGCGGAAAAAATCCTATCTACTTGCAGGACTCCTGCGGCACAGTAGCAAATTATGAATTCTGCAAGCATTATATACAAAGTGCTAAACTGTTTTTACATTTTGCAGGTGTCTCTTTTACTTGTCCATTGTGCTCGGATGCAACATGTCGTGAATGAAGCCAGAAAAAACAAGGATAGTGAATTTCCTGTAAAAAAAGTAATCGTGGGTGGATCAATGGTAACGAAATCGCTTGGAAGGGGCATTCGTGAAATATTCAACGCGGAATCAATTGCCAATTGCTACGGCTTAACTGAAACGTTTGGTGTCCTGAGCATCTCGCCTGTGGGACACCTCACTTTCGACGATTGCGGATTTCCTGTCGCCGGGAGCAAAGTCAAGGTATGCCTAAAATGCCTCAAATGGCATAAGTTATATACTTATATCTTTGTTTGGCACCGATCAAAAATTGCCCTAACCATCAAGTGTTCACTGTAGTACTTACTACAATAGAGTTAAAAATCGAATTTTTTTACGAGGACCGTCCAAGGTTTGTTCATAAGGAATCGCTGAGCAAGTGCTGCATTATGAAATTTTCGAAGGACGTTAACGCAATTATTCTTGATTACGTATTTGACGCATGTGCAGCAGTTCCAGCTATTATGAACGGCGAACATTGCGCCTGTAGCTCTGGAGCAGCGGTGCATGCGTTGTCAGATTTCTGATGAAGAATACAGGTAGACGGGCTGGGAAGTTTGAGAAGATTGTAAACAAAATGTGGGGAACAAACGATATCACCGAAAAGAGTGTAGAAATGTTGTCAACGGTTAGGCGAAGGTCGATAGCCGGTGACAAAGTAACTGCACAGACATGCTCGCCCGACTACACTTAAAAAAAAAAAAGGTGTAGTAGGTACACCTACAGGGGGTGTAAGTGCTGCTGATACACCCGACTACACCCGTTTTTTCTTAGAGTGTACAGTATATTTCCACGCCAAACAAAATCGAGAAAGTACCGAAACGACGGCACAGGTGCCTCGACGTGCACGGGGGATGCTTTGGAGGATTTACATGGTTTTGTGCTTGTCGAATTTTTCATTTGCACCGTAGAAATAATAGGTCCGGTGAACTTTCAGCGACCCATGTATATGCCGCTACGGTCGTTGTGGCAATGAATTATACTCTTTAAACCGACAGCAAAACTCCGTTTCTTACCCTATTGTATTCCGATTTTGTATAGCGTTGGCCAAAGGTGGTGCATTATCTTTATGAAATTCGCAAAGAGCGAGCTTACCTGAGGAAAACGAAAAAAAGAAAAAGGCTTAACTCCTATGGAAACGCAGCGAAGCCACATTTCTTCAAACCATACGGCGCCCTTTGGTTCGAAGACCGGTGGCTTTGCTGCGTTTTCGTAGGAGTTAAGCCTTTCTCTTCTTTTTTTTTTTAATTTTTACTCATGTAAGCTCGCTTTTTGCGAATTTTATAGAAAAAAATGCACCGCCTGTGGCCAACGCTGTAGATAATCGGTACTCGATAGGGTAAGAAATTGATTTCTGCGGTCGATTTCAAGAACCTAGCCGCTATTTGGGACACGCGGTAGTATGGTACATCGAGGATAATGTCGATTGGAATGTCTAGTTAAACCTTTTATACAATTAGAAGCTCGAGAATCGGAGAAGTGTGCGCCCTAATATGTAATAGAACTTACAGACGTCGCGTTTAACATCGTAACACCGGTCAACTCAGAGTTTCGAGCACAGTGTATTATACAACTTAGGTGGATTAGTCGTTTAACTTTCTTCCGCATTTCCCGCATAAACCACAAGATGGTGCCCCAGTCATCGAGGCTAGAGAGCTTAGATTGAAGAGTGGGTCCGTTTCAAACCATCGTTTGCAATTTAATGGCGGTTGCCTTCCGCTTCGATGGTTCGCGAGTGCGCATGCACTGAATTGTCGCGTGGCAAGAAGGAAAGCAGGCGGAAAGGAAAGTACGCTCGCAGATGATCAACGCGTTCGTCACCTCCTCGCAGCTCGTATTGCTAACGAGGCTTAAAAACCACGTGACCCCGATCGAGCAGTTGGGAAATGTTCATAATACAGGCTCTCTAAGGCCTATGCGATGCCGTCTGCTACGTGGAGAGTGAAACGTTCAGCGTCTGCACCGAAGCGTTATAAACACCCCCCAAGAAAGTTTTGTAATATTTTGCCTGGCTATCTATTATGGTGTCAGAAGTCTACCCAATTAACATTTTGCTACGGCGTCACCTATACTGCTAATAAAATGAGAAAAAAAAAAACGAAACTGCTCGAAACTGAAACTGGACTGGTCAGGAAGAAGGAATATAGAGGAGAAAGTTATCGGAAGTTACGTGACTTAGCAAATTCTTTTTAAAAACAAATATATACATATTTGCAGTTTTTTAGAAGCCACAAAAAAAGTGTATCAAATTTTGTGTCTATTTTAGTGTTGTGAGTCTGCCCTCAATGACCCACGACTTCGACTATCTTTCATGGTTGTGTCTACAGTCTAAACCATAGAAAAAGCCACGTGAGCACGGAGAAGGCAGTGAGCGCGACTCAAACCTGCCAGTTCTTGATCGGCGGTTATCGGAGCCAAAGAAAACGAATTTCGAGCCAAAAAATCGGCTTCTTGGTAGTTGTGGTCTCATATATGTCACGTACAAATAAAACCCTTGGCAAGTATAAATACCCTGTCAGTGTCCCTTTAAACCGAGTGTGTTATTCCTCAGTTCTAAAACCCGCCTTCAAAAAAAAAAAAAAAAATGGCTTCCAGGCATCAAACCTGGTGTGCGAAAGGAAAAATGTAAAAGTTTTAATATGAGAATCAATCAGCACAGATAGTCATACACCTGCATTTTCGGGAATGGTACCGCCAGTTGTCTACATGAGTGAACACTATTCTGAACACTATACAACTGGTAACCAAAAATTATTTCCCAGGTTATAGACCTAACCAGCGGAAACTCACTCGGCCCACATCAGAAAGGCGAGATTATGGTTCACAGCCAAAGCGTCATGAAAGGCTACATCGGGCATCCAGAAGCTACTGCTGAAGCATTGGGCGATGATGGCTGGTTGCGCACGGGTAAAAGGCCAAATCAAATTTATATTTGCAGTTATCACAGCGAGCTCTGAGTTATGCTAGACTGGAATATCTCTTTTGTACTCGGCTAATGCCGTAACTTCGAATGCAAATACTTTTATGATTGTTATTAACACGAAAGCCTTATATGTCTCATCGTTCAGTCGAACTTCAAAGTTCTTGAGCGAAAACACGTAGGCTACAGGAAAGGTACCAAACCGTTTACGTGACCACTCAGGCGAATTAGAGGCGATGAAATTCAGAAGGATGACAAAGCGAATTAAGAAGAATCAAAGTGAGTTACGAGGAAATAAAGTGCATTAACCGTAATGAAAGAGAAGCAAGAGTAATCAATGGGAATTAAGAAGGAGTATAAAGCGAATAATGTAAAAAAGAGAATGTGAAAAAAGAGAACGTGAAACAAAGTAAATCATGTGTCTGTCTGTAATGCATCGGCGCTTGGGCTCCCGCCTTCAAGTCGTCTTTGATATAACATAAGAGACCCTTTGAATTTTTTCCGCGTGCATAAACCGCGTTCGAAAGATACCTAGAGGCCCAGATAATAACTTCGACTTCCAGGCTTCGTGTATTAAATAACGATGATTAAAACCGTGGTAAATATTCTCGACAACACCCTTCCAACACTTGTGTAAGTTGTCACCGTTATGAAACCAAAGGAAGCACTTTCCAGCAATCACAAGTATTCTATTTTGAAATATACTTTATAGTCTCTCTATCTTATCACATTGAGAGTGCGCTTTCCTGGTGATAAAAGGCTCCTGGATGTGAAATAAATAGAATGATGTAAAGTATTCATTTTCTCCAGCGGGCTATGACGCATAAAAGGAAGTCAAGCTTAGGCACATGCAACGCTAGTACCTAAACTTTTTTTTACAGATGTTAAGAAAACATATTGAAAGACTTCGAAAACAGACGTATTCATCCGAGCGTTTTTATTGTATACAAGAGAATTTGCTCTGAGAATAAACATCGCTCGCACACATGCATAGAATACTTCATCAGCCCACACGTTCTTGCACCCGAAAGCACACTGCCAAAAAAGTACGCAGTAAAAAGAAAAAAAAAAAAAACTCGTGTCTCGTCTCTTGATCTCTAGCGAACGTCTATGCCGCACATTCGTGTCTTGCTTTTCATTGCTTCCGACCCGGCTGTCGTCTAAAACGTTGTAATGCCAACTCCTGTCATTTGTATAATTTTCTTTTTTCTTATATGCACTCGGTACAATTAACGATACACTTATAGCGCGTTCGATGTTGAGGACGGAAGAGATGTTGCGACCGACACCGAGCTTAGGTGAAAACGTTCTGTTTATTCTCTCGTGCCGACGGACTCGTATCGACGAGTAAAGTCGTCGTCGTCTTTTATCGGCGGCTTGGCAGGCCGATAGGCCGCAACATAGGTCCCCCCCCCCCCCCCCCCCCCCCCCCCTTTGCAGGTATGCATGCAGCTTGTGGGGGAGGGACCGATTGAGCTTTTGCGGTTGCAGCAAGTGAGTTGGGCTGTAGCCGTTGGCGTTACCTGTAGCGAGTAACGAGGCGGCAGGTGCCCAGTCACTCGTCTGCCGCCTGCCGCTGCCGCTCCTGTCTTCGCTGCATTGATCACGGACGAGAGGGATGACGATGCGTATAAAATAATTCGGCGGACCCTGGCAGTCTGAAAAATACCATCATAATTGTCGCTGGTGCTTGGCATTGAAAACTTCGGCTGGCTTTTGCGGCTGCATGGCCCAGAAGCGGTGACATTATGATTCCCAATACAGAGCAAGCAGGCTTTGTATAGTATTAGGCTTTGAAAGCAAAGAATAATACAACGTTTTCGAAGAAAAAGCAAGAAAAAAAAAACATTTGTAATATGCCCGCTCGTTTATAAACAAAGAAAACGAAAACAAATTCTCCTAATGGAGTTTTAGTATGACAGCACTTAATGACACCAATATCCATACACAGCCACCGCAAATTCCTTTGTCCTGGAGAGGGAACATTCGCCCAATGTGCTTTAACTTCTGCAGTGCGTTGACACACAAGCACTGTCTACTTAGGTCTAGAATACGTTTTTTTTAAGCAGCGCACTAAAGTAGAGTGTTTATACCCGCATTTTTTGTTTGCTTGAAAGTTAATGTGATGCAGGTGCTCTTGAACATCTTTATATCGAAAGAAAGTCTCATAATGGCCTCCCAAATCAGGGAAAATTGAATATTCATGTTGTAGAAGAAACTTGCCAGTGCTATCGACTTAACCATGACTTTGTATTCCTAAAAAAATTTCGTTTTTACAATATTGGTTGATATCTCGCAAAGGTGTAAGGTGTATTTCACACCCGAGAGTTAGAAACCCGCACAAAAAAGCCTTCAGAGCGGAATGCACATATTTCCATGCGTAATAAGTGACCACTTAAAAAGCCGATATGGGGAGAAACTGTTTTCATAAATACGGCCTAACCATGGTTAATGCACGAGCGCTAAAAACACAGATTTTTCTACGGCATAGCGTCTCATGCGCGCACTTCCGACGCGTGCATTTCTAAAACAATCGTTAAAATTGCGTACTTCAAATCGAAGGAACATGGGAATATAAACAGGGCAAATATTTCACTTTCAGGAGACTTAGGCTTATACGACGCTGATGGACGAATTCATATTATCGACAGATTAAAGGAGATGATAAAATGCATGGATAATGCCGTCACCCCTGCTGAACTGGAAGAACTTTTATTGACCCATGAGGCTGTTGCAGAGGCCGCAGTTGTGGGGGTTCCCAGCTCCAAGTATGGCGAGGCTCCAGCAGCCTGCGTCGTTGTCAAAGACGGTTTCGAGAAAAACCTCGAGAGTTTGTCGATAGAATTAAAGGAGCTCATTGCAGGCATGTGTCATGTTCTCGATATAAAAATTTCGTTTTATGTTGTATTTCAAGGATGACCTACATTGTATCTTGTTTTAGTTTAAGTCACACGTTAATTGCACCAGATGTATTTATTTAAACAACTACTAGGCTCGAAATATGTATGATGGTCACCTATAAAAATATTATTTGTTTTTTTGTGCACGAGACCGTAAAAGTGCCTACAAATTCGAGATAAAGAATTTCAGACAAAACTAAGGAAGATACTAGTAGGATATTTTGGCAGTCATATGCAAGCCACCCTTACTTAGAAACCATCTATTATTTCTTAGCAGTCACCTCGTTTAAAACGCTACGACTACCTTTCGTAACCAGAGGAAAGTCGCACCCCCGTGTTTATGGTGAATATAAAAGATATAGTACTTTTTTTGAGCATCATTCATGGTTGGTAATAGCTACGTTCAGAGTTTGAAGATTTTGAAGTTGCAATAAAATCTTGTGACCCGGAAACAAAGCTTTCAAAGAAGCTCTGCTCCAGTGCTGCAGCGTTCAATATTAATTTGTGCAGCACCTGGTGAAGTTTCACTACTTTGATTTTAAAGTTACAATGAAGAAAACATTGGTTAACTTACTTCTTACGAGCACGAGGGACGGCGAAAAACTACAAGATCTTAAACCACACTCTAAGAAATGAAGGGGTGACAACAGTTCGACGTTCAGTCCACAGGCGTCGAACCGACGATACCAACTTCCAAGAGCGGCTTGATTGTCGACCGATACCAGTTATTAAAATAGATAATGTACGCATTAAAGGCTACAGTAAGACAACCGAGGTTTTTTTGGCACTGCTAAACCTTAAAGTTTTTTTTCCTTCAATTCTTTGATACGCTCATTAGCTATTTAGTACGCTATACACAACAGCTATAATACCGCTCGTAAAAGTTGGTATCGCCACCTCGACGTCAGTGAATAGAACGTCCAAATGTAGTTTCGGGGCGTTTAATATGGGACAGGGAGTGTACCCCTGTGGACCCCTTATTTCGGAGAGTGCGAAGCGGCTTACTGATTTTTTATCTCCGCATTGAACCAAAACAGAGTTTAATATGAGATTTCTCCAATAAATATATCATTACCTAAATAAATTATACAGGGTGTTTTTTTTTTAAAGTTTAACAGATTTGTTTTAAAAAGCCGTGAAAGTTACACTTATGCCGCTTGTGGAGGTGGGTTAGACGGCCAGGGGGACGTATGATAGGGGCTAATTAATTAAAATTTGTTAATTAACTTTTTAATTAATGAAAATATACATATGGTTCCAATTATAAACTTGCTCAGCGTCATCTAAAACCACTAAATCAGTCATTTTCACAGAAACTTTCGAGGCGTGAGAAGCGTAGTAGTGCACTAAATTTACGACTCGTGGAGCAGGTACAAGGCTGGGGCTAGATAGAGACGGAAAAATCGAGCGGGCGCCTTACTGCAACCGCTAGCTTTCTACCTGCTCCACGAGTGGTAACTTTAGTGCACTACTGCGCTTCTCACGCGTTCAAAGTCTTTCTGAAAATTACTGATTTAGTGGTTTTCGATGACGCTGAGCAAGTTTATAATTGGAATAATATGTCTATTTTCATTAATTAAAAAGTTAAGGAACGAATTTTAGTTAATTAGTCGACTGATTGTTACGATTAGCCCCCTATAATATGTCCCCCGTGGCCGTATAACTCACCTCCAAAAACGACATAAGTGTAACTTTCACGGCCTTTCTTAAACAAATCTGTTAAGCTTAAAAAAAAAAACCCAGTATAAGATGTGTGTATAAGTTATATGCAAGTTACTGTATGATTTTATATTTTCCCATATGTTTATTGGAGACGTTCAAATAATTTTACACAAGAGCTGCTCAGAAATAATTGAAGGAATGGAGTGATGAGCTTGCGGTACAGTGTACTGATTTTTTTTTTTTGCATTGTTTCTGACCTTTCTTTCTGTTTCGCAGATCAAGCAGCTGTTTTCAAGCAGCTGTACGGCGGAGTTTTTTTCATGAAATCTCTTCCCAAGTCCCAGACCGGAAAGATCCTGAGACAAGACCTCAAGTCAAAGATTGCTCATAAAAAGTAAAATCGAAAAATAAGGGCAACTGAGAAACTGTATAAGCCTTGCGTACGTCATCACTAGAGGCCGGATGTTTAGGCCCTAAAAAAGCCACTTTTTAGCACCTATAAAAGGCACTAGAAACTTCGTAATAGGCACTCATAGGCACAATTCGTTTTTATGCACAGGGAGCTTTTGAAAGCATTTAGGGCCTCTGCTATTCAAGGAAATACAGAATAAAGTGGAACAATAGTAATCCCAATTTCATTTGTCCAACATTTAAAAAAATAAAAAAAAAGTTGACTCAAGCCCACACCGGTACGAGGCTGTCCCATGCTGTACATTGTCTAACTAGAAATGATGATAAAAATTATGAAAACAATAGCGAACAAGCACCACCTCAAGATTTTTGGGTTCAAACTTCTGCCTCTTGTCGCTTAGAACCAGTTTGTACGCTGAAAAAAGCGTTCCACGTCAGCTGATGTGTGTGGGGCGTACTTGTACTTAGGAATATTCAGTACTTCCACACCCTCTGGTACCCTATAGTGTTCCCCGGTGAGGACCTTCGAGACTTCTTTGAGTACAAAAAACCACTATTTTCGCTCAAGACAGACTGAAGCTTTGAACGAACTTGTACAGCAGCGGGGCCTAGGGGGCGGCGTCGACTCGTTCTTAAACGTTCGAAATGAACCCGATGTTCGGGGTCAGAGTTTCGCCAGCACTTTCGAGGCTCTTGACTGTGTCCGCCAGAGAGGTGAAATTGGAGCACAAATACGCCAGCTCACCTTCGAGAGTGTCCTCGCGCAGGACATTTTAAGCCTTTCTGACTGAGACACTATTGTCCGCTGGACACCCGTCAATGACCATCTTCACGCCAACAAAGTTAGTACTGTAATACTCTACAGCTTTAAGCCACGTTCCCCATCGCGAGCCACGATGAATTCTGGTGGAAGGGGCACCCCTTGTAGCTGTCCCTTAAACGCACAAACACGAGACGGTGATTTAAGGAACACAGCCGTCACAGCAGCAACAAGATCGTTTACATGCTTAAAGTGTTTTCATAGCTTTCCGCAAGTGCGGTGAATGCCGTGGGCAATGCAGCGGACGTGCAACATCCACGGGTAGAAAGCCTTCAGGATGAGGGCAGCTTTGTGCATATAAGTCGCCGCATCCGTGTAAAGTAGCAACACCCTGCTGTCTTCCAATTCAGTAGGGTATTGCACCTTCAAGGACGTGTTGACAAAGCACGCGACGGTCTCCCCATTTGTTCTATAAAGCGTCTTGGAGCACACAAGAAAAGGCGTTGTTCTCTCGTCTGCTACAAGCTTCCCAACTACAATGTGCGCGACAAAGCTTCCAGTCATATCTGTCGTTTTGTCTACGGAGACTCAAATGCACGAGTCCCCAAGTTCATCTCTGATTTTCTTCAGTGGTTCCTCGTACATGGGCCGCAGGTAGCTCTTGCGCGCAGTCGACTCCGACGGTACAGTATGGCTCGAGTATTTTTGTAAGAATTTGCTGAAAACTGGGTTTTCTACTTTCGCCCAAGGAATAAGAGCGGCGACTAAGGCTTCGCCCAAGTCTGCGTAGAATGCGTTCTTCTTCCCTTCCCTGAGGTTTTCTTTCACAAATGACTGCCTAGACGTTGAGGGCACGTTGCGTTCTGAGTTGGCTTGAGGTCTTGCTGTTTTTGTCCGTGTTGTGCCAGATGGCACTCCTTCTCACATGAAATCTGTGAAAAAAAAACAAAAAAAAACATTACGATATGCTGAAAAGCGTAGTGCGCCGTCCTGAGCGGGAATGGCTTTAAGCAATATCTTCCTCGTACCTATAAATATACCGACACTGAAAATATATAAGTGTTTTACAATACTGAAAAAGCCTACTCCTTGTGCAAGCTTGTTCAGGTTTTAGTTGAGCATCAGAGCACACTGCTGCTATACGCTCCGCATCCAAAGCTCAATCTCGCGAGACTATCTCCCGTTTAGGTAACAGGGAGCAGGGCTGTTAAGTGAACTACGACTCGTGTCCAAATTGGGTGCGTGCTGTTTAAGGGGGGGGGGGGCATCATGAAATGCTGTACGCTATTCATCTGGTTTGCCGATTCTGTCGCGCAAGATAAGGGGTATTTCAGTTGCCTCGCCCCCAACGTGAGATTTAACTGTACACGCCCATCCAAAGCACGACGGGAGGCAACAAGCACGTACTAGAGATCAGTAATCCGATAGAAAGACACTGTGCGTTTTGTCTTGTTACTGAGTATAGCTAATTTATTATTTAAAATTTCAATTAGGGTCAAGAAGTTTGGGTGGCTCCTTTTGGTTGTCCCTCTCCGGGACGTTACGGAATTTTTTCCTGAGTCCCCTTGCGAACGGCCCAGTAATATTCTTCGAATATTCTTTCTGCTTGGTCTTTGAAAACTGTGCGTACAGTTTAATTCGTGCGATCCTAATATCACGGGAACAACGTCGCTTTTCTCACTGTGACGTCACGGAGAGACGCAGCAGCCAATCAGCGCGCTGCGACTACAGCAACGGTTGTGTTCGTTCTCAGGGCTACCAGATTTCGAAAATATTGTGCTTGACTGGTATTCGTCGGAAAAAAAAATTACTTAATATGTGTTTGGAGGGTCATGCCAGGATTCAGGAAACTTCTGTATCACAAATGTATGTGCCTGTCTCGGCCGCGGGGGGGGGGGGGGGGGGGGGGGAGACACAAATTTGTAGAGGCTCGCGGACTTTTCGCAAGAAATTCTTCACCAACCCATAGTCGAGTAAAACTTTTCTAAATTAATACATCGATATAATTTCTTTAATAAAGATGCGAGTGTTTTTCTTGGTTCATATTATATGAGAGAATGACGTTTTAGCAATTAGAAAATATTTGAGCTGACGAACGTTTTTGCGAACACCATTTTAGCGAACAGGTTGTTTTTCGGCAATGAAGAGCTAGGCTTTTAAACCGGCGCGGTTATCGCTTGCTGTCGATCAAGGGAAACGAAGCTGCCATTCGCTACAGCGTCATTCGCTGAAACGTCGTGGTTTCGTATTCATTCGCTAAATCATCATTCGATCAATTTTTGGTTTTTCTCCGAAACAAGGCACCTAAGGATGTCTTCTTACCTGCTTCGCTCACGGTTGACAGAAGATCATATCGAGTAGAGTAGCAAAAGGAATGTTGGGTCCATTGCCGAATCAGCACGCTCTTTGGGACCGTCATTTTTGTCCTTGTTGAGAAGCTTCAGGCAGCGAAAGCGAAGAGAAACTACAGGCCAATGGACACAATAACGAGAGTCCGGCGCGCACGCGAAAGGAGCAAACAACGCGCTTCCTATTTCCTTCACCTCACATGTAGGCTGGCATGCACACGCACACGCACATACAGACATGCACACAATCAAATACGCTCGCTCACTTGAAAAAAGAAAAAAAAAAAGCTTTTTGGTGGGCATTACGCTTTGTTTCCCGATCTTCCAATGAACCGCAGCGAATAGGACAAGCCCCCCCCCCCCCCCCCCCCCCCTATCCCAGCCAATCCAGTACTACTTTAGCTGGGCGGAGCAACACGCTGAGACTCTCCCAGCGCTGGACTGGCTGGGACGCCTCCCAGCATCCACTAAGGTCCATTTAGGGTGAAACGGAGTACAGCAGCATCCAGATCCAGACTTCAAGCCTCCGGGCAGCTCCCGGGCTCCACACAGACATGTTAAGACAATAACCCGCTTCTCTCGGGCGAGGCGAGAGGGAGAGAAAGCAAAGAAGGACGATGCGTGGGGAAGGCCGGGAAGGGCCTTCTACTAGAAGAAAGGTGGCGCGTTAGCTTAAAGGCGTGAAAAAAAAAAAAAAAAAAAAAAAAACATGTTTGTGGTGGATCTTGGGACAGAGATAGGATCAGCCTGTTGCCATGCATTGCAGCAAGATGAAAAATAGTTCGCTTGAAATCGAAACTAAACAGAAGGAGTCATTTTGGGGTACCGAAGCAAAAAAAGTCGAAATAGGCATCTATAGGCGGGAAATGATAATTTAGGCTCAAACGTCGAAATAGGCATTTATAGGAACTATAAAACCACCCTTAAAGCACTTCTTAGCTCATGATTCGGGCTCATATATAGAAAAGGCATGATAGGGACCAGAAGAACGAAGTAGGCATTTGGCCTAAAGATCCGGCCTCTAGTCATCGCCAAGCAGGGAATCATGGCGAAATGTGTGCTTGAACACTTGCGAGATCTGTACCCGAATCCATCAGGGATGTCCTAGATAAGAGACAAATGGGAAGACGAAAAATCGATTCGTCAATGTTGGTGTCGATTTTTGTATGTAACTCGAAATAAAACAAACAGTACGTTTCTCCCAGATTCGTTGTATGGCTCCAGCTTCAAACAGTCGCATGCGCCACCAAGCCCAGGTTCGACAGAACTGCTGCTTCTAAACCCACTGGTAGTTTTTGCATGTCATAATGCGGCTTTCTGAATGCCCGTAAAAAGTGAAGAGGCTTATACTTACATCCCTGTTTTGACATGGTGGGGCGTCTCGAGTAGCGAAGATTTAGCAAAGTTGCCGAGCTGAAGTACTCGGCTCAGAATTGCACGGACAAATCTCTCATCGTAGAGGTGGCACCGAGAATGAGTATTGTGAGGCCGACAGATCGTTATAAATAATTCTTAATTAATATATGAAACAAACAATCATAATGACCCAATACATTGCCCCAACACCCAAATGAAGTGTTTGCAACGTGATACGACTCGCGTGCTTTTTTTCTTTCTGGCCAGTAATATAGCCCGTGAAACATGACAAAATTCACCGTGACGACACTCCCGCCCGAATATGGACTCAATTTCAAATGTCCAGGAATATTTTTCTAGGCCGAAAAGAAGAAAAAAAAAAGCACGCAAGACGCATGCCGCATCATTTATATTTGTCACATTAAAAATCCGATATGTCTCATACACTGGGTGTCGTTTTTTTAAACGACTACATATTTCTCTAAGAATAAAAACGTGAAAATTATGGACTTGCGGTATGTGC